TAGCCACATAAGGCAGCTATGGCGTTCCATACAAAATGCTGTACATGCCATAAAAGAGGTGGGTAAAATAAAATTATAACAAACAACCAAAAACAAAACGAACTATTTTGAAAGAATTTGATATCGAAAAAAACCGATTATATTTAAGTCTTCGCTTTAGTGGAGGGTTTTATTTTTTAAATGAGAGAAAAGCAACGAATATCGAAGTTTACAAGAAAATTTCACGGTAAGATTTACATTGTAGTGTGATATACCCTCATCAAACAAATTACAGAACCAAGCAAAGCTCTACATAATCAAGTTAGACGTTATATGCAATGAAAAAGACTTGGTGTAAAATATGGACGATAGATGCAAGAACGCATAGAGAGAATCAGAGAGACATATTCAGAAAGAGCAAAACGTGGAATGATGCAAGGGATGGAGCATTATTGTGCTTGTTTATATGGAGGGTATAATCGTGTTAAAAATTCCAGACTTGTAACTCTGTAAATCCAGACTTGTACGTTTGTAAATCCAGACTTGTAAGTTTGTAAATCCAGACTTGTAAGTTTGTAAATCCAAACTTGTAAGTTTGTAATTCCAAACTTGTAATCGTATCAGTTTCATACTTAGCTGAATAAAACACAAAGTCACTTCACAAGTTTGCAAATGTCAAGTCTATTGAATCCGAAACTATGGAGGGACATCAGTTCTAGAATTATTTTTTTTTAATTCAAACTTCTTTTTCTAATTAAAACTATGATTTTTTTTTATTTCTACCGGTTATAAATCTATAAATCTTAACAAAAAGGGGAAAATGTATTAGATATCAAAATATTTATAAGAATGATAGACTAGGAAATCATGTTTTTTTGGTAAGTTTTTGTATTTAATAAAAATTCTCAAAAGCTAGAAAGGGGGAATTTTGTTGTTGGCAAATTTAGAGTTACAGTTATAAGTAATAAATAATTTGGTCAAATTTTTAATTGATTGATTGTATATTGTTTAACGTCCCTCTTGAGAATTTTTCACTCAGATGAAGACGCAATTTTTAATAGATGATAGGAATTTTGACTAAGGTCTATGTCTGTTTGATGATCCTGATCCGTGACTTTGGGGATCACATCCTGCTATGCAATGGGATCGTAAATTAACTTTTATAATTTTGAATTTCCACTGTATTATTTATTTAAATAAGCATGACTATCTTCCTTTAACAGTTACTATAAGAATCAGACTAAACCATGTAAACATAAACGTTGACTGCAAATTGTCATTTTTTTTTAATACTTTTTTTTTTAATTTTATGTTACAGTTTACCACAACGGCGTGAGAAGTCTTTGGATCCTTCCACAATTATTTTAGATCTATTTTTCTTTCATATTACACATACCCAGCCTTTTGCAGGCTTTACAGCAACGTGAAATGTACTTTCTACTAATGATAATTTGCAAAAAAAGTAAATTATGTTATGCATGATTTAATAAGCTACATTTACAATATATGTATACTTTGTATATTACTACAACCTATCAAATCTAGCGGGAACATTAACATGCACAGATGGAAAGCTCTAGAAACAACTCAGTTAAATTTAGGTTCTTAATTAAATAATAGAGATTTAAAAATCGACGAAATTGTCTTATAAAAAAATCACATAAGAACCAATCCCCCCTCTTTTGCACACTTTGGAAATTTACACCCAAGGCGTCATTAATCGGATCAGCTCGCTCTTTTCCGTCACAGGCTAGCGTGCGACGGAAAAGGGCGAGGTGATTCGATTGCAAAGGCTGACAGTTCCTGTCTCCTTCGTACGATATCAGACAGGCAAGCCATTCTCTGCGCAAAAATAAGAGAGGGTTTAACTTAGAACGTTCTAGATTTTTCTATATTGTTTCAAAAACGTCGTCTTGAGAAAAAACAATACTTTTTTTTGGGGGGGGGGGGGGGGGAGTGGGGGTGGGTGGGTAAACTATTGAACATTTTACCTCGTCCCTATAAATGCATGAAAATGTATTTACGTTCAAATCACGAATCGAGGGTCACCGAGCAGGTTTATCAGACACATACGTGTACTACATAACCAATACTAATTGATTGTTTATATATTTTAAATTTTTAAAAATATAACATTAACGTAATTGCCATTTTGTGGGGAAAACCCCAGCACGTACTGATATCAATGATAAATAAACACTTACCTGTCTACACAGACTGAGTACGAAGAATGTATAGATTGTCAAGCTGAACTTGTCCCAAATTTTTTTCTCGTGAGTAATTGCATGGATAATTGCCTACAGCGAATTAGCTGTATAAGCACAAATGAACATTTGACAGTTTTAGAGGGGGTTAAACATCTAACCCCCCCCCCCCTAACACACCCTTGCGCCCTCTAAAGTTAAATAAAAATTAAGGTAAATCATACATTTTCTTCAGGGTCTCCTTTTCCACTCTTAAAATATGCATTGAATTGAGTACAAGAGATTCAAGAATCTGTCCCCATGAACCCACCCTCACAATAGGGTTTTATCGTGGACCAGCTGGGGAGGGGGGTCCCAATGCACTGTCCTTGAAAGCCATATATGGCGTATGTACAATGAAAATTATGAGACTAAAATTATAAGAACTTATTATCTGTATCATTACTTTATATAAAGATAGACCTTTTCCGTAAATTACAAAATCTAACTCAATTGCGTTATAAAGATATCACAATTTAATTTCTCGGAATTTTCTCCGTCTCCGAAGAAAATACAAAAGATTAAAATAACACATTACAGAGAAGATAAAATCGTATTATTAGATGAAACGAGGTGTTCTCTATGTTCAGAATTGTATGAAAAGCTTTAATTTAAATGTACTAACTATATTTCTCTACTTAATTTTGTATTTTTCAAAAATGTATTTTTTATATCAGTTACGCCACATATGGCTTTAATCAAATACCTTTCATAAATGCTTATTGTGGATTCATCACCTGCAGCTGATTGTGAATATATCACATGTATTTTCTCATATATTATCAAAACAAACATGAATGTACTGAAAAATCAATGTATTGAAAAAAAATATTTAATCCGGCCTCAAACATTATGACTAATAAGTTTAAAGTATTGGAATTCAAAATGGTTCGTCGTCAACATCGCTAACATTTTTCGCTTATCTTGTCAAAATAGTGATTTTAATCAACGCATACATTTTACAACAGTAAAAATGCAAACTCAGATTATAATATCAATTATTAAAATATATACAATAAAAGTTTATAGTTTTTAAGTTAATCACTATTCTTTAAATTTCACAATTTCAGTGAACTTTCAAATTCCATGAATTGTCAATTTTTCAAATTAAAAATTAATGCGTGCAACGACACGTACTGTATAAAATTATTGTTAATGAGAATAATTTAGTCACTGTCATTGTACATAGAATTGTGGATCACTGTCACAGAGAGTCAGACACCTGATTATGTAGTATATTTTTTATGCATTATTAATTAATATAATTATAACTTTCATACTATTTACAAAATCAAGTACCTGTTGATCGCTGTAAACAGAAAGAACAGCCAAAGTAAGAAAGATAACTTCAACATTTAGTCGATTTATATTGTACACAAAAGTAATCCTCCTTCCTCGAAGAGTTAAGTGTTGCAAAATTTAAAATTACCTTTATCGTGTATCTTTTACGGTTAAGAATTTACAAACTTCCTTATAAAAACATTTGAAGCGATTTGAGTCAAAAACTTGTCTGAATTCAAAACTTTGGATCCTATAACGACAAAAGCTATTTACATGTATCCACAGTATATACAGGAACAAAACGTGATCAAAAGAATATTATTTATATGTACATGTATTATTGAAAATTCAAGAAGAGTATTCTTGCTTTAGCGAGAAAAAGTTGACTAGAGTCCAAATCTTAATTGAATGGTTATATTTTATATCATGTCCATTTCGAAAAGGACATGAATATTGTTATTCCACTAATTTACTTGAAATATTTTCTATTTCCAGTTTTATAGTTTTTTAATAACTACAAACTCTTCTATTCATTTTTTCCTTTCATTTTACGCTCTCCAGGAAACGTTTGGATAATTAACAAACGGGTGACATTGTTATAAAACTTATAACATTGTCAGAATCTTATTGAAATATATATGTTTTAGGAATGACTATGGCTGTTGTGATTTGTGAGCACGCGTGTGTGAGAGAGGGTGTGTGTGTTGAAGGGGGGGGGGGGGGGGCTACATTGTAAATGCTTGTGTAACTGAGTATATTTACATCCAATGAATATTTTTCCTTTATTTCTTAGGAAACTCCTTTGCGTTCATCACTGCAAAAACTACAGTAGGCAGGTCGCCTGTACAGATTTCTTAATCAGTGGCTGTTCCATCAATGAAACGTATAAAGACGTTCGCATCATTAATTAATACAATGATTAATCTTTTTAATCCTACTTTAATTGATTATTTAAACAGATATAAATATAAATAATAAAATGCTTTCTTTGTTTGTTGTTACTGGAATGAACGGTAGCAGCTATTGCAGAAAAAAATTACAAAACACGCTTTCGAGGGTTATGTATTTTTTCTGCAACAGCTGCTTCCGTACATTCCAGTAACAACAAACAAAGAAAGCATATTGTTGTTTAAATAAAGAAACTCCTTTTATGAATAACAAAAGGATTTTTTTTAATAAATATAATCTTAATAGTCCTTTACAATTAAGGGAAAAATTACAATGAAGGGGAAAAATTTCAAATCTTAAAAGTCATGATTATGTTACATCTGTCCCATAAATCATTCGAGATTTGTACATTTTCCGACTTTTTAACAAAAGACCGCACTCAAAATTATAAATTTTAACTTATCCATTGTGGAAATAGAAAGGTTTATAATGTATTGCGGATATAGATGGCCATTAAGAACACGGAAGAATTTTTTTTTCTCTGGAATGTACAATATGTACAGTTGTTCCATAGGAAATAATAATAGAACAAAAAAAGTTAACAGTTTTGTTTTGTTTTTTTCAAGAATGACCTCTGAAAATGTCTATAAATCCAACTACCGCTCTATTCATCCTATTGTGTGCTATTGATGAGCTTCCGATTGTTTCAAATATTGATGGATGTCTTGGGTTCGTACTTATAATTTTTATTGCAAACACGTACTTGAGTAATTACATGTACATGCTACGAAAATAAAGTTAAAATTATATAGCTTCAAAAATTGATATTTTAAAATGCACAGGTGTTTTAATTAAAAAAGTGTCTTAAAATTTTTAGGCATGTTTATGGTTGCTGTGTAGGCTTCGTGTGGAATCAACAGGAGAGGGCGTGTGTTAGTCAGTATAAATCACATGTACTTGTATCATTGTACTAAAATGTTTCACAAATATTTAATAGATGTTTGAAAAAATTAGATAAGCACATTTTTTTTATGTTTCATGAAACAACTCTATTTGGATTCCACTTCAGGATTAATTTTAATTTTATTTTTTAGAAAATTAGTTTCCAATGCTAGTTGCCAAAACATTTTAAAATATATACGATATACATATGAAATTTAATTTTTCTTTGCCATATCTCTCGCAAAAGTTATTAAAAATATTTAAATTTTCTGAAGAATGTCAAAACGGATATTCTGGGATAAATTGCTCTGAAATTTGTCAGTATCCAAATTACGGGGAGGACTGTCAAAATGAATGCAACTGTACCCAGGAAATGTGCGACCCTAGTAAAGGCTGCCAGGATATATCAACAGGTATGCTTCTTTGAAACATATACTAATAATTGTCTCATTCTATTTTTATGCCCCCGTAAACGAAGTTTCGGGGGTATATAGTTTTTGTCGTGTCTGTCAGTCTGTTTGTCTGTTTGTCCGCAAAAACTTTGACCTTGCCCATAACTTTTGATTTTGTGGAGCTATCATGACTTTCATATTTCATACGTGTATTCCTTGTGACAAGACCTTTCTTTGGGTACCACCAAATTTGACCTTTTGACCTTGACCTTGGAGTTTGACCCACTTTTACATGAAAATTTTAAAATTTTACTTTGGCCATATCTTTTGAACAGTAGACACCGGGACATCTACACTTCACATATGTAATTTTTGTTAAAAGACCTTTCACTGGATACCAACAACCTTGACCCTTTGACCTTGACCTTGTAGATTTGCATACTCGTGAAAACACTTTAACTTTGGCCATAACTTTTGAATGGTAAGGGATAGGGCTTTCATACTTCATATATGTAATCCTTGTGAGAAGACCTTTCATTGGATATGAAGATCCTTGACCCTTTGACCTTGACCTTTCAGCTTGATCTACTTTAAAAAAGCAAACCTTGACCATAACTTTTAAAGAGTTAAGGCCAGTGTTTTCATACTTTAATATTTGAGTCTTATGACAAGACTTTTCATTTGATAACAAGAACTTTGACCCTTCGACCTTGACCTTGGAGTTTGACCCACATTTTAAGATTCTTTTTAAAAATTTTACTTTAGTCATATCTTTTGAACAGTAGACACCAGGACTTTTATACTTCACATATGTAATGTTTGTTAAAAGACGCTTTCACTGAACATTTGACCTTGTAGATTTTGGTACTTGTGAAAAACTTTAACCTTGGCCATAACTTTTGAACAGTAAGAGATAGGGTTTTTATACTTCATATATGTAATCCTTGTATAAAGACCCTTCATTGGATATGAAGATCCTTGACCCTTTGACCTTGATCTTTCAGCTTGATCTACTTTAAAAAAGCAAACCTTGACCATAACTTTTAAAGAGTTAAGGCCAGTGTTTTCATACTTTAATATTTGAGTCTTATGACAAGACTTTTCATTTGATAACAAGAACTTTGACCCTTCGACCTTGACCTTGGAGTTTGACCCACATTTTAAGATTCTTTTTAAAAATTTTACTTTAGTCATATCTTTTGAACAGTAGACACCAGGACTTTTATACTTCACATATGTAATGTTTGTTAAAAGACGCTTTCACTGAACATTTGACCTTGTAGATTTTGGTACTTGTGAAAAACTTTAACCTTGGCCATAACTTTTGAACAGTAAGAGATAGGGTTTTTATACTTCATATATGTAATCCTTGTATAAAGACCCTTCATTGGATATGAAGATCCTTGACCCTTTGACCTTGACCTCTGAGATTGACCTACTTTAAAAAAGCAAACTTGACCATAACTTTTAAAGACTTAGGGCTAGTTCCTTTCATACTTCACATATTTGATCCTTATGACAAGACCTTTCATGTGATAACAATAACTTGCTTTGACCCTGACCTTTGAGTTTGACCTACTTTTTAAGAAATTAAACGTTAACCATAACTTCTGAACGGTTAGGGCTAGGGCTTTCGTGCTCTACATAAGAATTTTATGTGGCAAGACCTTTCATTTGATACTAATTACATTGGACCTTTTGACCTTGGAGATTTTTGTACTTATTAAAAACCTTTAACATTAGCTTACATTCAAATTTCACAATTGTTTTCCAGTGAGAATACCATACTTTTGGTACCAATTAATTAAATTTGCATTTAATAAAAGCTTAATCTTTGCTATATTGCCATACGGGGGCATCAGTGTTTTACAAACACATCTTGTTTAATACTATTTTCAAATTTACTACTGACCGGTTAGCAGGGAATGCTCACTTCTCCATGGCACCTGATCCCAACTCAGATGTCTTGATGTTTGTTCAACTCTTATTCCTATCGTTATTTGGACTTTTGAGCTTTTACATGGACACATTTTAAGCTAATAATTTTATTAACATTTTTTTCATTTAAAAATATTATATTAAGGTCTATTGATCATCAATAATTTGAATTTCAGTTGTCAAGATACAAGACAGGTATATTTTAAATACAATTTTAAGTTTCCAGTGTTTTACTGAATTTAAATTTGTTATAAATATGCTACTTATTTTCTACATGTAAACAAAAACACGACACAGACCTTATTTACATTATACTTTACTTTATCTTATGTGTTAATCTGTAATAATTGATGTTCAAATTTTCTTGACCGATAGACAATGCCTTAGATAAGAATTGTAAACACAAAAATTAGTTTAAAAATTCAGTTGAAACTGATTCAATTCTCCTTTAAAGAATACAAATTAATGCTTCTCAGGAGGGGCTTAAGAATAATGCACATGTAACATCACAAGCTCCATCATAGTAGACCTATTTTGATTTGTATAAATATGAAGCAGAATTTCCGTGCAAAATGTTATTCGTGAAAGAAGAAAACACCTGTTTTTGCCTTCAACTATCCATTGAAATACATGTTTATCGAAGTATTGTCGATTAAGGATTGTTTTTCGTTATGATGTCGATACGAAACTAGTATATCCTGGTGATATTGAGATATAATTAGATAAAACAGTCTGACATATTTGTTTTACATTTGGATATTTTACTTCAAAAATACGTTGATGTCAATCCAGCTAACATCCAACCTCTATGATAACGTGATGACTCAAACTTTTCTTTCGCCAACTTCCCTTACTTATACAGCAACTATATACCTTCATCACCGGCATACGGAATTTCTATATCTTGATTCGTTACACCAGAGCTCTGCGTACGTATGAACAATTGTGAACTTGTTAAAGGGATAAAGAATATGAAAAAGTGCAATATTTTAGGAAACTCTGCCATTAGGATGCGTTTCCAATCTTTTGTTCCCAGATAGCAAGACATAGTTAGGCCAACGTTGGCCCATTTTTTCAACGTTGGCCCAATGTTGGTAACCTTACGTTGGCCCACGTTAATTTTGCTCATCGGCCCAACGTTGGTCCAACATGTTGGCATATTGTTTGGCCAGCGTAGGTTTAATTGTATGACAACTAACAGCCAACCTTAATACATGTAACTGGTTGGTTAGGTTGGCCTTTGTTGAAATGTCAGATGGCATATATATTCTTGGTCCGATGTAGTTTTTAGTGAATGCCAACTAACAGCCAACCATAACAACTGGTTGGTTAGGTTGGTCCAATGTTAACCGTTTTTTACAATGTCAGATGGCAAATTGTAAGGCCAACGTAGTTATTACATAGAAACATTTGCAATTGTTCAAGTGATTCTTTACATAAACCTATTTTATGACTGTTAAAAACAATACACAATTCAATCTGCATTCATAATGCATACATGGACATGTTCAATGAAAACATTACTAATGATTCACTGTTATTATATTTTATATACATCAATTCAATCATAATTTACAAATAAATTTTAAAATAGACAATAGAGGTAAATTATGAAAAATTATCAATTAAAAGTTCTTAATCAGGGCTCACTTCCTTTATTATAGTCCTTTTGTTGTGTTCCCGCTCTTTTTCGGTCCCTTCGTCGCCTCCCGTTTTCTTCATCGTGATCTTTGTCATACGGACTCGTACTCTATACACTTTTTTATGCATGGTCTTTGATTTCATTGTTTTTTGCATGTACCACCACAACATTTGTTTACCTTGCAGTCTCTGACTGAATTTCTTTGTTACAATCGTGTCTGTAATAGACAGTTAAGAATTAGATAGATAGAAACAACTTAAAAGATGTTATTTAACCTTAACTTGCAGTGCGTGTATGCAAAAACATGACAAGAATGAATTCCGAATCAATTTTAACAGTTAAACTTACATCGCTTCTAAATGCAGCTGTATAGCGAGTGTATAATCCACAAATTTAAATTTCACTTCTTCTTCCTGGCTTGCCCTTCATTATCACCACCTGTGAGCAATTGAATCTGACAGCTCACTCTACAGTTTGGTTACGTAAACGCGAATTAACGCCTAACTTTTGTTTCAATTTGATTATAAAGCTGTGTCATTTTGATTTATGTATATGTAGGCTTCATTCACATCCTGTTCCTGAGTTCTCTAAATTCTCATGAATTAATGCAACGCTCTTGAAAAAAATCATAATTTCAAGGGTTTTCTTTCAAATATAAATAGTCATAATAATACACTCTTTGGTGCTGTGATCACTTAAGGTAAAATGTTGAATATATCAGATCTAAACAAAAGCAGTCATCTAATTAAAAGCATGGACAGAGAATGTCACCTTAGCAGCTAAAATTGACACCATCTTTAGTTGGCAGTATAATAATTGGGCGTTTGCCCAATATAAATATCTCATCTTTGAAACACCTAAACAAAAGAACACTCGTGCTCACATCGGGCCAACATTCAACAATGTACTGCCAAATTGTTAAGACATTCTTAAGGGTGTATTACAAACATTCGGCCAATATACTACTTCCCATTTGATAATACACTTTATTTAAAGGTGTCTAACAAACAATGGGCAACGTCGGGCCAACATACTACTATCAATTTGATTAGACACTTTATAAAGGATGTATAATAACAAACATTTGGCCAATGTTAGGCCAACATACTACTATCAACCTAAAAAGACACATTCTTTATGGGTGTATTAAAAACTTCGGGTCAACGTTAGGCCAACATACTACTACCAATTATTTAAAAATGTACGTATTACAAACATCGGGCCAACGTTGGGCCAACATACTACTACAAACTACAAAAGACACTTTCTTTTAGGGTGTATTACAAACATCCGGCCAACATTGGGCCAACATACTACTGCCAATTTTAAAAGTCACTTTCTTTAAGGGTGTGTTACAAACATCGGGCCAACGTTGGACCAACATACTACTACCAACTTTAAAAGACACTTTCTTAAAGGGCGTATTACAAACATCATGCCAACGTTGGGCCAACATTCTACTACCAACTTTAAGACACGTTCTTAAAGAGTGTATTACAAACAGTGGCCCAACGTTGGTCCAACATCATTACCCCTCCTTCTTTAATTGGGAAGTTAAGTGAATGGAAGTTGCTTACGTTGGGCCAACATACGAAAACTGTCATGGTCGAATAGGTTGGCATGGTGACATTGGTCCAACGTTGGCCCAACGTTGTTCCCCCAACGCCAACCATACAACCTTTTGCCAATGTTGGCCCAACATAGTCTTGCCTTCTGGGTTATTACTACTAATTGTATTTCATAAAAAACTTTACATGTTTCAGTCATACATGCAGTCAATTGCAAGAAATATAGTTGTCCTGGCTTTTCATCCATAAATGGTTGATTGATTAACTACCCGGTACCTATATTCATAATCTACAACATGTTTTATATTATGTGTTTTTGCACCCCTTGATCATAATATTCTGTCCACCTATTGTACATGTACGATAATATAAAAAAAATTCAGATGTTATGAGGAAAATTTTGGGTTTTGTTGATGTTTGACGTACATTGTATCTTGTGAGGTTAACATTAAGTACTATTGGGCAAATTTGGGATCTGTCGTCGGGTTGTCATCCCAGCAGGTATCAAAATCAAATGTGGATTGTACATGCATGTGCAATGCCAAGCAGGATACAAAATGAGCAATATTCCATTATAAATGTTAAATGAAAAGATCAATATTCCAATTAAGTGTTATAATGACAAATCAAGAAAATTATAAAATTTATTGTTCAACGGACCAATATCCCATTAACAATGTCATCAATTTTAAATAAAAATATTGTTCATAGGGCCAAAATTTAGGGAATAGCCAATGTTGAAATTTGATTTATCAGTGTTTAAAGGGACATGGACACAGTTTCAGCTAAAACATTTGAATTCATTTTCCCATTTTCACAAATATATAACAAATGATCATCAAAAATTTGATTTTAGTTGCTGAGATACAAGACAGATTTAGAGCCCCAAACCTATGTAAACATGGTCCATGTCATGGTTTTGTTTATATATGTTAATACTGTTTGCAGGGAAATTTTCGCCCCCGTTTTTTTTCGCTCCTTTCGCCCTAGCTCCATTTGGGCGAATTTAAACGGGGCTAATTCATATAATACAGTATAAGTACTTAAACTTAACTTTGACAGGGCAAAATTGTCTGCAAGTGTGAATAGGGCGAAATAAAACGGAACGAAAATAACCCTGTATACAGTACTAATGTATGTTCGTCAAAAGCAAATCATTTTTTAAAAGTTACTGTAGTAATTCTAAATACAATTAGACAGTTACTAGCGTTTTGATGAATTTCATTTTTTAAATAATAAATAATAAATAGTTTCTATATGTAAATATAAACAATGCACAAGCATTAAGTTCTGTATCTCGTTTAATTGTTAATAGACAAATGATGTTTAAATATTTGCTGATCATTAGTTAATGCCTTAGTTAGGAATTATAAACATTAAAATTGGTTTAAAAATTCAGTTCAAACTGTGTCTATTCCCTTTTAAAATAAAAATAGAAATCAATGCGCAAATTGCGCCGATAATATTACATGATTTACATGTGTAACAACAGAATCCGTCCATTGGAAGTGGAGGTGACAATATATCGCAATACCGTCACCTTGTAGCTCAATTCTGTTAGGAAGACATCTCAAGACACGTGTAGATAGAAACGTTGGTGGATGGCCATTGGCTTTTGGCAAGATTCAATACTTTAAATGAAATGAACAAGGCAAAGACTCGGCAGTATCATTATACTAAATACACACCTATAATTTTCAACAGTGAGCTGCATAAGACTGCGATGAGAGGTGATTTTTGTTTTTAAACGATATCCAAACATTGAAAGTTTCTATCACAGACAAGCTCCCAATATTTTTTTTCCAGCACAGAACGGATGAAATTACTTTTCATACCTTTGTATATATTCACTGTGGCGTTTGTTATTACAAATAAAGCTGGTGTTCGAAACCCAGATATATTTTGCAAGGCAAATAATTTCACAATAAAAAGAATTTATGTTTTTCCTCATGCTGCACAATCTCAACGCGGCTCTGCTTTTGCTGTGATAAATTCAAATAAAATCAACACCATTGTTGAGATGAAATATGTGATTTATTAAAATGATGAAATTAGAAAAAAATATATAAATCACATGATAGGGGAATTGAAACGTACATGTATCACCGATATAAAATCTCATAATTCTAGACATTGCTTTTGAATTACCTATATTACGGATCGATGCAAGATATTCAAATTATTCAACAGAGCTTAAATATATTGTCAGGTTATTAATATATTAAGAACAGTGATTAGATGTTTAAGATTTGGATCATTATGTAAAGGAAAAAATCAAGTGTCGAAAAAAATCGTCGAAGATTTCTCACCCAAATCTCACATTAACTTTATATTCCTTACAGGTGTATATACTGTAATTTAAGATTTTATTTTTAATAACAAGAGTGGCCAACGATATTTTATAATGAAAGAAACTGAAGGAAAAGGAAAGGAGTCATATCGCTCACTCTAGCAATTTGACTATAAACAGAAATCAATTCTGTATTGAAGATTCTACTCTATAAATGGTTCAAACTTATCACCTTCCTCCCATGCATGTTTGAACAAACTTGAATCTGTTTGTTTCATTACATGTAACATGTACATGTAATTATTTGGCTACTCATATCAAATGAAAGATTTTCAATATATTTTCGTATTGACCGCTGAAAATGTGATTTTTTGGCGTGCCCCTGCCCAACTTGATGTTTTAAAAAAATAATCCAAGCTTTCAGAGGAATGCTTCTGTTTTGATATGACTTATCACGATTCTGCTATTCTTCAGGATTTTAAAGGTATATATATTTTGTTATAAATTAATCAAAATTGAATGTTTGTTTAAAACATAATTGTGCTCGGGATGATAAAATACCAGAATATATTTAAAAGAATAGTTTGCGCGACCACCAGAAAAAATTCTAATCCCCATACAAAGAGGAAATAGTTTTATCTACTAGCAGAAAATAGCATTGAAATCAATCACGCACTTTAGAATTAACATCACATTTACAAAAAAATTATCTTTTTCATAAGGAGGAAATAGTCATTGAGAAACACGGAAATTATTTATTTGTATTAAAACTTATCTCCTGAATAACATTTTAAATACACGCGTTGAAGGAAAAATGTTTTCTGATCTACATTCTTTTTTAATTTTACTTTGGATCTTGATAGACTGTCCTCTAAGTGTTCTGAACATGAACAACTGTCATGGGTAAGGCGTCAGAAAACCTTATTTCTGCACATGCTGGCTAGATTTATAAATTAAGCAGCGTTTAATAACTTAATACATGTATATTTTATAAATCTAAAATGAATCTACTCATGGATAGTTTTTTTGTTAAATCTTTGAAGCATATAAAGAGGGGAATGTTCGTAAATATCGCTAGGCTCTACACACGTATACCTGGTAGTTTTAAAATGTATATGTATATTTATCTTCGGGAGTATTTATGAACATTTCTTAGAAATATTAGAGAGATAATTCATATTAAGTATTTAATCTTAATCAAGACCTAATGATTGTAACATAATTTATACCCAATACCCAATCAACTTATACAGTCATGTAACTCGTGTATATATGATTTAAAATTATTATATACACACTCGCTTTTTTTCAAAGATTTTTTTTTTTTTTAAATTTCATTAGTCTCTTGCTCTTTCGTAATAATTTAAGTTGTTTTAAATCATTCCCCCTAAATAGTTTAAAGAATTATTTATTTTTGTTCAATTACAAGTTATTATATATTTGAGGAAATATGTATACCTCTCGAAAGCACTCCATTTTCCAATGCTTTAAACATCTAATCAGGATATCAAACTACTTACATATTTTAGGAACGCCCATGGTTGCTGCGATGGATACTTCTGGGATAGAAACGCCTGTGTCAGTGAGTTATAAATAAAAGAATAATGAATTTACCATTACGTAATCGTTCTTATAGGTTAAGCAAAATACGTCATAATATTGAAAATTGGTTTTAAAAAGTTTAAACACTTTTTTGTCAATAGAAAGCAGCCAGTTGGTAACATTTATTTATACATATCTATAGAATGTCCAACGGGGTATACAGACAAAAACTGCTCAGAAAAATGTAGGTACCCGAGCTACGGAGAGGAGTGTCAACTCGAATGTCAATGCAATGAGACAGAATGTGACTATATAACTGGTTGTATAGATGTTTCTACAGGTAAATGTATATGTATGCGTTTCCACAAATGATGTCAAATTCACCAAGCGTACATGTATACGCATGTGTAAATTTTCATTTCATGTTTAATACATTTTTCAGTAACGAATTTAGACAAAACTTCGATGCTGAATAGTAAGACCGACTCGAGCTTACATTCCTCAAAGAAATTACAAAGTCCATGGAGTGCAAATAAAATAATTTCTCTATGCACTTTAGTGATATTTTCAATCAGCATTATACTTTGTGGAGTGCATTTAATAGTGACACTGAAGAAACGGATAAGTGAACAAGCATCCAACTTACAAACAGAAGCGTATCAAAATGATGCTCAATACCAGGAAATTCCAGATAATCTTATTCTTAGAAATTTTACAAAAGAGAACCAGGATTGTACACGTGTCACGCAAGTATAGAGGAACTTGAACTGAGCATAAATACATGAATTAAATATAAGGACTAATTCAGAAGCAGGCCGTCATATCTGAATACCTTTCGTTATTTCCATATGTTTTATTTATGTTTTAAAGATGATTGGATTAATTTTTGTATGTTTTGTATATATTTGATGAAAACGTCATGCCGAATATGTCATAATAAACTTGTTTTCCTATTTGAGGGAGTGTATCTAAATATTAATTGATAAATATTCTTTGTTCATGTTGTTCTCCATATCATAATACCTAACATTACTGATCTACGTTCACCATGAAATTTTTAAGGAAATACAAGCACTGCTTATTTCTTCCAATTTTGAATAATAAAGCTGTTGTGTCCATATTCCTGCGCACATATATATGCTATCATTTATTAGAAACTGGGGAAGGGGGCTTAGGTTTCTGTTCTGTTTAGACTCTGACAATAAACAATAAGGCGCCAACTTCAACACATGCTTTTACTTGGGCGGAATACACAATAATAACATAACATACAGAATGCACATGAACAACAAAGATAATTCCGGAATACTACATTCCTCCCCTCTTAAGTTCATTATATAATTTGACTAGAAACTTGACTGGAAACAAACATCTTAATACTGATCAATATGTGAGTTAATTTCAAAACCATAAAATATATTACATTTACACAGTTTGCTGAGCTGTAAAACTAATTCAATCATAATGCATGAAACATTACACAAGATATTTACAGTCAAGACAATAACAAAGAATTGTTCACTATAATCGAGGCAAGGATCGTTTAAGGCGTAACATAGTCATCCAAATAAGCAGGTTTCTTCAGGGAACGAGACGATCTACGAGGGCTGGCTAAGTTTGGAGCACTGGACGGTCGCGGAGTACTGGATAACGGTAGAGTCGCGTTAGCCTTGAATTCACTTTCCGGCTGTGCAGGTGTAACAGTAGTTCTCGGTGCCTCCTCTGTGGTTAACGGATCATCAAGACTTTCGCTTTCATCCGGATTGTCGGATGCCATTTGTGGTATGAAATGTCGCTGTTTGATATGATCAACATGTCTGCGAGCAGTTACGCCGTCTGGAAAAGCAACTTTGTACGAGACAGGTCCCGTCTTCTGCATTATTTCACCACATTTCCACCGTCCACTGGGAAAGCTTTTTGTTATGACTGCATCACCTTCCGAGAATGTTCGTCCTTTCGCATGTAGATCATGATACTTTTTGAATTTCTTCTGTCGACTTCCCACTCGTTCTCGAATCTCAGGCTTGACGAAATCCAGCTTTGTCCGCAATTTCCGATTCATAAGTAGCTCGGCTGGAGCAACACCTGTTGTGGTCTGGGGTGTAGTGCGGTAGTTTAATAGAAATCTTTGCAATTTGGTCATCAGTGTACCAGCCCCTTTGTCCATCTTCTTCATCCCTTCCTTAAAAATTCGCACTGCACGCTCAGCCAAACCATTCGATGCTGGGTGATATGGTGAGGTTTTCACATGTCGAATACCATTCTCTGATGTAAAAATTCCAAATTCGTGACTTGTAAAACAGGTCCCATTGTCTGTGACAAGTACATCGGGAATTCCATGTGTAGCAAACGCTTGTCTGAATTTTTCAATTGTCACTTCAGATGTAGAAGAAGATGTCTTAAACACCTCGATCCATTTGCTGTACGCATCAATAATGATCAAAAACATGGATCCCATAAATGGTCCTGCGTAATCGGCATGTATTCTTGACCATGGACGATCTGGCCACTCCCAGGGATGTAACGGTGCTACTGCTGGTGTGGCACTTTGCATCTGACAATCTTCACATCCAAGTACTTTTCTCTCGATGTCTTCATCAAGTCCGGGCCACCATAAGTAGCTCCTTGCTAGGCTTTTCATCCGGACTATTCCAGGATGTCCTTCATGTAACAAATCCAATAACTTTTCCCTTCCTTGTTCTGGAATCACCACGCGACTCCCCCAAAGAATACAGCCTTCATGTGTACTAAGTTCGTTCCGTCTGCTGAAGTACGGACGAAGTTTCTCATTGCTGTTCTTCTCTTTCCATCCATTCTGAATGAAATATATCACCTGACGCAAAAGTGGATCTGACTGTGTCCATTCCTCGATTTCTTCAGCATGTACTGGTGTACCATCGAAGCGTTCAATGAGTAGAATGGTCTCACCCGGCAGGGGTACATCCACACTCTCCTTGAGTGGTAGACGACTCAAACAATCTGCATTACCATTCTTCTTACCCTCCTTGTACAGTATTTCGTACTCGTATCCTGCAAGGATTAACGCCCATCTCTGTATTCGAGCTGCGGCCATTGTTGGAATGGCTCGGTCAGGTTTAAATAGTCCCAACAGTGGTTTATGGTCTGTATAAATGACAAATTTATGACCATAGAGGTACTGATGAAGTTTTTTCACTCCAAATATAATTGCTAGTCCCTCTTTTTCCAACTGAGAGTAGTTTTTTTCTGCTGGAGCAAGTGTTCTTGACACGTAAGCTATTGGTTTCTCCCCTTCATCTGTGATGTGTGACAACACCACTCCCAATCCAGTTGGCGAGGCATCACAGGACATGACAAGCTTCTTTGTGGAATCAAAATGAACTAGTAGAGATGAAGATCTCAAAAGGTCTTTCGCTTCTTGCATAGCTTTTGATTGTCTAGATCCCCAAGACCATGATACATCTTTAGCTAAGAGTTCATGTAATGGTGCTAGCACAGTTGACAATTTTGGTAAGTAGCAACCATAATAGTTAAGCATTCCAAGGAAGGCCTGTAGTTCTTTGATATTACTAGGTTCAGGTAAGTTCTTGATAGCTTGCACTTTGTCTTCAGTTGGCTGTCGTCCATATTTGTTTATGCGATGCCCAAGGTATGTAACTTCATCGGCCATGAACACACATTTTTCTTTTTTCAGTCGAACTCCTGCTTTTTCCAACTTCTGTAACACTTGTTCAAGATTCTGTAAATGCTCATGTCGGGTTTTCCCAGTCACGAGTATGTCATCTAAGCGAACAATAACACTTGGTATGCCCTGAAGTAGATTCTCAATAGTTCTCTGAAATATGCCAGGAGCAGACGAGATTCCAAAAGGTAAACGATTGTACTGGAAAAGTCCCTTATGAGTGTTAATGGTGGTATATTTCTTGGACTCTTCATCCAACTCTAATTGCTGATAGGCCTGGCTCAGATCAAGCTTGGAGTACTGTTCACCACCTCCTAATATAGCAAATAGATCCTCTGTCTTAGGAATAGGGTAATTGTCCAGCTTAGACACTCTGTTCACTGTAACTTTATAGTCACCGCAAATACGCACAGACTTGTCACTTTTAACTATTGGTACGATAGGGGTCGCCCATTCTGAAAACTCTACAGGGGTAACACTTCCTTCACAAACTAATCTGTCCAACTCTTGTTCGATTTTCTCTTTCAATGCAAAAGGTGGAGAACGACTTTTGAAGTATCTAGGTTTTTCATGAGAGTCAACATATATTTTGGCTTTCACTCCTTGAACTGTTCCTAATCCTTTCTTGAACACAACTTCATACTTCTTCAGAACCTGATCCACGTCAGTGTTTGCCTCCGTTTTCACTTGGAATACTTCATCCCAGCACAGCTTAATGATATCCAGCCAATCACGGCCAAGTAAGCACGGTGTTTTTCCTTTGACCACCTCCGCCTTCAAGTTATACCGCTGATCTTTGTAGGTCACGGTCAACTGCACGGTTCCAAGTATTGGAATAAGTTCCCCAGTGTAAGTACGCAGTTTTGTAAACGAAGGTTTCAAGTTTAACTCAGGGTCAGATTTACAAACAGTCTTGTATGCCTCTTCACTGATGACGGTCTTACTGGCTCCAGTATCCAACTCCATGGACTGGTCCACTCCATTCAAATTCAAAGACACACAATATGGTGGTTTCTTGCCTGGGTCCACCATATGATACAAGGTATACTCCGTGTGGTCTTCTTCATCATCAGGTGAATCACATACAGCATGTACATTTTCCCTTCTGGAATGATTCTTTGGTCTGTAACTCCCAAAATGACCTCTCGTTTTCTGTGGTACTTTATGCGTTTTTTGTGTTGAGATTCCTTTTCCCCGGCTGGCAGCTTGGTCCGCCTTCTTTTTTCTACATTCTGCAGCAATATGTCCAAACAAATGACAGTAAAAACACTTCACATTACTTTTGTCTTTGTGCAATTTGTCAGTTGCACTCACTTTGTTTACTTTTTCTGTGTGCGCTATTCCACTCTGTAGGTCAACAACTCCTTTCGCGGCAGTTTCCATGGATATGGCGATATCGTATGCCTTCTTGAAGCTTAAATCCTTCTCGGCCAACAAACGCCTCTGAATTTTGTCATCCATGATACCACACACCAAACGATCACGAATCATGACTTCCATGGTTTGACCAAAATTACAATGTTCTGTTAAATGACGAAGTTCGGCCACATACGATGCCACAGACTCACCCTGTCTACGAAAACGATTGTTAAACTTGTATCGCTGAACAATTTCTGAGGGTTTGGGTGCATAATGATCCTGCACGAGTTTTACAAGTTCTGCAAAAGTTTTAGTACCTGGTTTATTTGGCGCTAACAAGTCGCTCATCAACTTGTATATTCTACTACCACACACACTGAGTAGAATCGACCGGCGTTTTTGTAGATCCGCCTCCTCGGTGTCACCGATGCCATTAGCTATGAAATAATGTCCGAGCCGCTCACAGTAATGTTGCCAGGTTTCCTTACCCTCTTCAAAGGAATCTATTTTCCCGAATACTGCTGCCATCCTTATATTTTAATCCTCGTCGCCACTGTTCTGTTTAGACTCGACAATAAACAATAAGGCGCCAACTTCAACACATGCTTTTACTTGGGCGGAATACACAATAATAACATAACATACAAAATGCACATTAACAACAAAGATAATTCCGGAATACTACAGTTTCCTCTGAGTCTGTCCGTGTGTCTAGCTGCCTTTCAGTCTATCACACCATTTTTCACACTTTTTCATAAACGCTTGCGGATATTGAGTTGACTTTTGGTATGTAAGTTTATATTGATGAGTTACACATTAAGATATATTTATCGTTCTGCATTACTGATTTTTGACAGAATTATGGCATTGTTAATTATTTTAAAATTGGAATTTTGATCGGGGTGAGATGCATTAAATTAATGTACCAATAGAGCTTTATCTTAAGGGAAAAGGGGAGCCCAGTAGGGGACATGCATTGCATACGCAATACTCACAGAATGCTTGTTTGATAGAAAATATATCTATTTTTATTCAACCATCAAGATTGCATTTTAAAAGATTAAACTTATTTATTTTCAAAATAGCGGCAAAAGACATTTGTTTTCATTTGTTGTCTTTTTTGCCAAAGTTTTCATAAGCAAATATGCACCATAACATCTTTTTTTAAATATACTACACCATTCAAATATAAGATATTATACACAACCAAGGGGATTGTTGAACTGTGGTCCCATATGTGAATCGAAATTCCATATGTCGATTTGTAGTAAGAGTGTTCAAAGTCACGTAGAAAAGTGACGTTGATCATCCCTGATAGATGTGGAACACCGGCAAGCAAATATGCTGTTATAGTTTAGATAAATTTTTTCACTATGTAAGACCTATTTACAATTAATGTTATAGGCATTAAAATCAGCTACTCAAGACATTTTTGACATACGACGGTTGTCCAAAAAGTTTGTGGACAATGACGTTTTTGTCAATATAAAAGGTGGTTGTATATGCATTCTTTGTATATCAAAATATTTCTTATGAAAAACCAAGTCAGAATGGTTTAATTTTTATTTAGGAAACTTAATATTTTTGTAAAAAAAGGGGATCTTTAAAGATTGCAGATTGTGCGCACGGACCAATCTGACGTACGTTAGGCTAATTTCATTATGACGTCAAACATTTGGATTTTGACTTTTAACACATGTTCATGAACACACATTTCATTTCCTTTTTAAGGCGCTCAGCACTTCCAAGTGCTAGCAATAATCTTTATGTATAGATTATGATTTCTGTAATTTTTAAAATTCAAAACAATGCACACAAATTTACGAGCGTCATCTAAATGAACAGTTTGTATCTTTAATTGCATAAATATCTGGTACCTGTTACAGGTCGGTGAGCTGAAATGTAGTACCTGTAAAAGATCGGGTCGGTTTATTCATGTATATGTATCTGCGAGGCACAATGTTTTATTTAATTGAATCAAGAATGGTTAAATATCTGGTACTTGATTTGGGTAGCTTAAGTGCAATTCCATACCCTTTAGCAGTACCTAAGTGATGTATGAAGGTTCCTTTCTGAATTATACCTTTTACATATACACACGCAGTCCCTATAACAGGTAGTTGGCTTTTTTACGCCGGTATCTGTTGTAGAGATAGAAATTATCAGATCCTGATTCATATTACTACTACATAGGCAGCTTTATAACCTGATGCTTATCATATTTAATAAATGAACCAACTGGAAGATTTTACAGGTAACTTCATATTCTGATATCTCATACAGGTAAGTTAGTACCTGTAAGAATTAGGATGATTCATTATTGTATGTCACACCTGTTTATCCGTTTCTGTCTGTTTTCTACATGCGTAGGCGTCGGAACCAGGGAGTTGAGGGGAGGCTTAGCCCCCCTCCCCCCACTTTTTTGCAAATATATACTAAATATAGGCATGCATTGAAAATTGGAGTTTACCTTTTTTGTTGGTTCAGCCTACCCCCCCTTTCAATTTGCTTCCGAGGCCTATATCATGTTTAGGATCACATTCATACGTATGCTTTCTTTTTTTATTCTTGAGGTCTTTTTTTTTTATTTCAGTTGCATGCAAGAAAAGTTCATTGCCAAGCCATGCCTTAGAGAAATGTTCTCATTTATTGACGCATTTTCATGACGCCCTATATTTGATAATAGTCGGAAGAAACATTTCAATATACATGTACATCTATCATTCATCCAGCTACTTCGCGAAAAACTTTGATATGACACACGAATTAAATCAATATCTTTCGCTCTATGTCCCGTAATTTTTTCGCTGCATTTACACATAGCTTTAAATAAAACAATTTCAAACTGTTCTGGCTCATTGTATTGATCTCGAGACGTGGAATAAATTGACATTTTCCTCGAAAATATTCTGTGTGCGATAATGATACTTTTTAAAAATGCCAAATAGAAAATAAAATGATTTCAAGTGCTTATAGGAATTAAATACTGAAAATTGTTAAAACAGTTCGAATAAAAAGTTTATGTTTGAAAAAAATATCTAATTATAAATGATTAATTGAAATATATATCATATGCCGTTAAAGTATTGCTGTGAACGTTTTTGTTTAATTATGCCATTTATGCCTATTTCAAACCAATATATGCAAAAAATTTTAAATCGACATATAAAAGACGCATTCCGTTCATTAAATTCCTCGTCTTGCATTGACTGGGTTTATCTGTGTGTGTGACTGGGGGGGTGGGGGTGGGAGTGGGGGAGGTGGTATCTGTAAGTCTGGTAATCGCGCGCCTCTCCCAATTTATTCAGGATGTGATCTCTAAGCAGGGCAAATATGTACTTATAAATATAAATTATTTATAGTACTTAACGTCAATTTCTTTCTAATTTTTTTAATCAATTTTTTTGGAGGATGGTCTGTAAAACACCTTTGTTTTCTATTGAATATAATTAAAATTGTTATGTCGACCCCGCCACACCCCAACACCCACACCCTCCCTCACACACACTGAGTTTCTTTCCGTTTTACATATTTACATAAGCATGAACCAAACGAAGAACGAATTAATATGGTTTCATTATACGTCACAGTAATGCGATATAACTCGTGTACACTTATGGAAAGATAACTCCCGCCACCTTCCAGGCGGTACCAAATAGCCTCGACCATTTCTAGTACTTAAACCTTCTGCCTCTTACAGATTTCTGATGATAGCATACCGACTCGTAACAGGTACCAGATTTCAGCTCACCGACCTGTAAGAGGTACCAGATTATTACACGCTCAAATGCTAGTACTTCAACCCTCCTGCCTCTTACAGATGTCTAATTATAGCATACCGACTTGTAACAGGTACCAGACTTCAGCTCAACGACATGAAAGAGGTACCAGATTATTACACAATCAAATGTTTGTACTTAAAACCTCCTGCCTCTTACAGATGTCTGATTATAACATACCGACTTGTAACAGGTACCAGATATTTATGCAATTAAATTCTAGTACTTAAACATTCTGCCTCTTACAGATTTCTGATAATAGCATACCGACTCGTAACAGGTACCAGATCTCAGCTCACCGACCTGTAAGAGGTACAGATTATTACACGCTCAAATGCTAGTACTTCAACCCTCCTGCCTCTTACAGATGTCTAATTATAGCATACCGACTTGTAACAGGTACCAGACTTCAGCTCAACGACCTGAAAGAGGTACCAGATTATTACACAATCAAATGTTTGTACTGTAAACCTCCTGCCTCTTACAGATGTCTGATTATAACATACCGACTTGTAACAGGTACCAGATTTCAGCTCACCGACCTGTAACAGGTACCAGATATTTACACAATAAAATTTTAGTACTTTAACCCTTCTAACTCTTACAGATGTCTAATTAAAGCATACCGACTTGTAACAGATACCAGATTTCAGCTCACCAACCTGTAAGAGGTACCAGATTATAACACAATCAAATGCTAGCACTTTAACCCTTCTACGTCTTACAGATGTTTGATAATAGCATACCGACTTATAACAGGTACCAGATTTTAGGTCACCGACCTGTTAGAGGTACCAGACATTTACACAATAAAATTTTAGTACTTTAACCCTTCTAACTCTTACAGATGTCTAATCATAGCATACCAACTTGTAACAGGTACCAGACTTCAGCTCAACGACCTGAAAGAGGTACCAGATTATTACACAATCAAATGTTTGTACTGTAAACCTCCTGCCTCTTACAGATGTCTGATTATAACATACCGACTTGTAACAGGTACCAGATTTCAGCTCACCGACCTGTAACAGGTACCAGATATTTACACAATAAAATTTTAGTACTTTAACCCTTCTAACTCTTACAGATATCTAATTATAGCATACCGACTTGTAAGAGGTACCAGATTTCAGCTCACCGACCTGTAAGAGGTACCAGATTATAACACAATCAAATGCTAGTACTTTAACCCTTCTACGTCTTACAGATGTTTGATAATAGCATACCGACTTGTAACAGGTACCAGATTTTAGGTCACCTACCTGTAAGAGGTACAAGACATTTACACAATAAAATGTTAGTACTTTAACCCTTCTAACTCTTACAGATGTCTAATTATAGCATACCGACTTGTAACAGGTACCAGATTTCAGCTCACCGACCTGGAAGAGGTACCAGATATTTACACAATCAAATGTTTGTACGTAAAACCTCCTGCCTCTTACAAATGTCTGATTATAACATACCGACTTGTAACAGGTACCAGATTTCAGCTCACCGACCTGTTACAGGTACCAGATATTTACACAATAAAATTTTAATATTCTAACCCTTCTAACTCTTACAGATGTCTAATTATAGCATACCGACTTGTGACAGGTACCAAATTTCAGCTCACTGACCTGTAACAGGTACCAGATATTTACACAAAAAAATATTAGTACTTTAACCCTTCTAACTCTTACAGATGTCTAATTAAAGCATACCGACTTGTAACAGGTACCTGATTTCAGCTCACCGACCTGTAGGAGGTACCAGATTATAACACAATCAAATGCTAGTACTTTAACCCTTCTACGTCTTACAGATGTTTGATAATAGCATACCGACTTGTAAGAGGTACCAGATTTTAGGTCACCGACCTGTAAGAGGTACCAGATTATTACACGCTCAAATGCTAGT